GTCGCATGCTTCTTTGCCAGTAAAGTTGTTCGATATGATCCAGAGACAGGTAATATCCTTTGTAAGATTTTGATATTTGAAAAAAATTAATATTCACTATTTTAATTGTTCTGCAATATGCAATTATGCATGCAGTACTTCTTAATTAATATTCACAAAATATGTCGCATTGCTCATACTATTGAATGATAATATACAAGAATTACAAGCCTATTTATATTGAAGAATTAATTCTTTCTTAAGCCTGTGTGTATACTTAAGTGAATTGTATATATGATGTACATTTATGAGTATATAGTACTTTATAATTATGTCGATACAAGAACATGAATGGATTTTACTTTAACTTCCCTAGGTCAACAACTTCAAGCTGTCAACATCCCTGCTCTAAGAATAACGTCATGTTGTTTCGGCGGGAAGAATTTGGATGAACTTTACGTCACATGTTCCGCTCACGAGGTCTCCGAGGAAGAGTTTAAGAAATACCCATTAACCGGTTCTATTTTCAAAGTTAAAGGCCTTGGTGTGAAAGGTTCTAAGGCACAGATTTATGAAGGAGAAATCAAAGAGGGTTAATGAGGGCAAAAGATGTTTTGTGCAAAATTTAATAAAGAAATATTCATGCATGCATTCATTGAACGTTTAACGTATTTTTAATTGATTATGAGAGTTTTATATTCTCTTTAGCCCCCCCCCCCAAAAAAAAATGACGGTAGTGTAGAACCCTGCAGAAAATAGACCATAGCGTAAAATTTCTCCAAACGGAAGAATTGTTCTAAAGAAGAACCACATTATTTTGTTAAAATAACATTCTTATCATTCAAAAATTGTACATGCAGAATATTGATAGTTTTGTTTGTTTTGTTTTTTTGATTCGGTGCTTTTTTTAATATCTATTTTCCAGAATACATAGAAAACAATAGTATTTCGGAGGTTAAAATAGTCTTGAATCAGGTCATTTTTTTGCCAGTCGGTCGGAACCAACCAATTTCTAAAGATGGTCTTGCTAGCTGACGGTTTTAATATTATACACATAAAGCCATTTTTACACTGAATTGTTTTAAATCTGTATTTTCCCGTTTACCTGAACATGACATGAAGCAAATGGCGGATGAGACCAGTCGACAGGGGATGCTTACTCCCCAATGGCACCTGATCCCACCTGCAGTTTTTTGACGTCTGTGTTTGTTCTGCTTAAAATCGGTATTTATTTTAATGGAATTTTTTAGCTCCACTACAGTTCGTTACCTCCATATTTCATGCATAATGTGTTAAACAGGTCGGAGAGAATACTCGAAATCGGGTATTATCCGCGAAATCGCGTATAATACTCGATATTAGAGTATCGTTGAATCCGCGAAATCGGGTATAGGAGATGTAATCACCTAATAAAACTTAAACAATGGGATGGCGCATGTTGCCGAGTTAACTTTCATATAGATACACATGTTTTCTAAAGGTATCACTAGCCAAGTAAGAATTTGGGCGTCAAGATTAATGCGCTCGGGACAACAAATACCAGTGGAGCTCAGTACATTTCATGATCTGCACAAAGAAAGGCGTTCGATTTGCTTTATATTTTTCCTTATGTTGAAAGTATATGCATCTTCCTAATATTCATTCCCAACACAACAGAATTGTAAAGTATCAGAATTCGGGAATTTATAATAATTCCACATCAACACGACAAACATGAACAATTTGTAAATAAATCAAATTATACGGAAACACATTTCACACACCAGATATAATGCCATGTATAAACAAGGGATTGTCTATCGTATCTAATTATGCGTCATTAATTACTTTCACATTCATCTTGTGCATAAAATCAAATTTATTTATGAATGTATAAATAATGTAATGATAAAGTATCTTAATTTTTTACAATAATTTTTTTCAAAACCGTGTACTTGCGGTACGATGCAAAAATTGTTTTATTTTTACAATGCAAAATTACAGGGAAAGAAGAATGGTCATGGAAATCAACAGAAATATTAAATTTCAACATGTTTGAAGAGAGTCAATTCAGGTTTAAAAAATACTGTGTTCTCTAAACACAAGTGACATATTCATTACTTGCCTAGTATTATTTTATCACCAACACTCGTCTCTGGGTTATATCTATGGATAGTGTTTTCCTGAAAATCAACAAAGAGAAGTGTATTTGTCATGTCATCCCAATGAGGGCCTTCTCCGTCTGTTTTTGTTGCATTTTTTATCACACATTCGACAGCCATTTTGAAATAAAAACAACTCCTTAATACTGATCCACATACAGAATAAATGTTTGCTCTGTGCTTTATCTGAGTGAAGATTATCCACATGTGCAGATAATTACACTGTTTGTTACGTAACTGTCACCCAAAGTAGAGGAAACTTAGGAAAACAACAGTCAGACCGTTTTTCTCAAAATACATGTGAAATACACGAGAATCGTTTGGAATTATGTGGATTCTGGTCATTGTATCCATTCATCGAAGGATATAGCATGCAAGACATGTTTAATAAATTGTACAGAGATAGCAAATTACTGTATAATATTGTTTTGTATTTTTATATTAGAATTAGATTAAAAAGCAAGATAGAGGACAAGGTAGGGTAACGGCCAAATATGGCCCCTTTGATGTAAAATCAGAATGCTGGTAAAATTTTGATAGTTTGAAGTTAAGAACTTAATAAAACGATGCTTACTTTAAAAACAACACTAATTTGAATTCAAAGCTTACATAGAAGCTTATAGAGGGTGCAGAAGTTGGACATTTTCCAGGATGGTGGAATTTCTTCATATTTGAGATACTTTTCTCTTCGGAAAACATAGAGCACAAGCTTGCCTATCTGAGATTTTTACAAATAAACTGCATCTGATACTAGTGTATAAAATAATTTAATTTGGCACATAGGCAAGCTTGTGTTCTATGTTTTCCGAAACAAAATGTGCTGTAAAATCGATGAAAATTTGCATAAAAATGAGAAAATTCTAAAATTGACTTATTTTCTGCCCGCTCTGTCACTTCTGAGGATTTCAAACTTAGAACCAAGCTCATTTTGTGGCAGGGGTGACAACAGGTTTTTAGGGATAAACTGTTGTATCATTCTGAAAAAACGGGTCTTAGCCTATCTTGTCCTTTTCATACAGAAAGCTGAAAAAATCTTGATTTAGCATTATAAAAATAATATTATAGGTATGATCCTACCTTCAAAGTAACTATGAGCAGGATAACTGAAATGACATGTGAATTCAATTGGCCCTGTTGTTTTGCAGAGAATAACTGGTATACCTACATACATGTAGGGGTACTGCGAGTACCGAGCTCACTAAATGAAAAGCCCGCCTCTAACATGTCTAATATTATAATAATGGCATTAAAGTCCATCTTTTTTCTAGGAGACACGAAATAAATCCAATTGTAAAATCTCATAATCAGTTAGAAATTAACAAACATTCAGTGAATGCATACATGTATATTTCTTTGTTAATTTCTGTATAAAAATCTATCTTTTGCTCTCTTTAACCCTCTTTGATTTCTCCATCATATATTTTTGCCTTAAAACTTTTCACACCAAGACCTTTAACTCTAAAGCCAGAGACGGTTAAAAGGCATTTGAGTAAAATATTAAGTAAAAATAAAACATATATAGCGTCAGATTGAACATTCACATGTAAATATCCTATACTTTAAGTTTTCTTAAAAAAAAGTATGATTCAATTTTTGCAAAAAAAAAAAGATTGATTAAAATGGGTCCCAGAATAAAATGTGTAAAATTATAGAGAATTGAACCAGTTGTTTTAGATATATTGGCGATTGAAAAAAAATTCAATTACAAAAAAACTAAAGTAGATGACATAACAATATTTGACCTTTTACCTCTTGATATGACCTTGACCTTTATAGTACTTAAAGAATGAAGACTCCTTATAAATTTATCCAAATATCAGCCCTCTACTATTTATGGAACAAAAGTTACATTGCATTTTATAACACACAGTTACATGCTTGTTTATTGTACTTAGATAGCGTAAACACATTAAAAAATGTTAGCTCCCAAGTTACCAATATATAGGATTCTCTGATTTTTTCCACAGAATATGACGCAAACATGCTAAAACTTGTTATTTTTCTTACAGTGACCATTTATTGTTGTCAATATAGTAATATTAATTTTTTTTTCTCCAGTACTTTAAACTTTAAAAAATGAGTTAAAATAGAATCCTCGGGTGTTTTGTACTAATATATGTACCTTAATATGTATTTTACCTTTGTAGAAAGCAACATTGTTTTTATGTTTATCAGTATGCATTTTTTGAAAAAAAAATCATCTCATTTCAGATTTCAGAAAACCCTGATGAATTTGATAAAAATATCCTGCAACATGTAACAGACATTGAGGGTCTTAGACTGTTTGCAGATATAGATGATTTCAAATCGGGAAAATACTTCTTCAAGACTAAATTTCATACTGTCTTTGTTGGCATAATTGATCATCTTAGACAGAACAGGGAGCCGTCGACTAACCTAAGTGGAATTCAGGGCTTAAGGAAAAACATCTTCCCTCTTGTACTACATACCTGAATGTCAAAGAAACAATGAAACCAGTGTTCATTACATTGACTTGAATAAAATAGAAATCAGAGATAAAAATTTAGAAAGGTTCACTGCTTTTTCGGAGAAGTTTGTAGCAGAGGATTGCCTCACCATAGATCATATCACTATTTTCAATTCTCATTTTGTTTACAAAATTAAGGAAATATTCGTAGATAAAAGAATTGTATTCATTTTCATTGAAAAGGGCTTCATAGCAAGTGCAAATTCTGTTGAAATTGACTGTAAAAGAGATTTACTCCTGGATAAGGAGAATTTTAGAAAGATTTGGAAAGGTTGTTTAAAGTCATTGGGATGTCAAGAAGAAGATCTCATACAAGAAGGGGAAAAATATTTGATCTATTTTCAAAACGCTTCCTTATGACTCCGAGTATGCTGCATTTTGTATTAAACTACCTGTGTATTAAACTACCTGTATAGTGTCACAGTCTGGGAAAAGGTGCAGAGCAAGCATTATTTAAATACACAAAAAAACAAGCAAGAAGAAATAGCGAACTTTAAAGGATGTGGAAACGATGAACTGTTTAACACAAGTAAGAAGTGATAATGGACCATATACACTATTAAAATGCCGTTTTGAACACTTAACTGTACTGAACTTGTACGAAATGAAAGAAAGCTCTTTACAGAAGTTCTTGCAATCAAATGAACTTTTGTATAAATATCGCGTGCAACTATGAAATTGTTAATGTTAATATCTAACCGATAAATACATTTGTGGAAAAAAATATCAAACAACATTGAATATGACTTGATTTATTCAGAGACTATAATGGTAGAAAACAAAGTACAGCAAACATTAAATATAAATGCAAAAAAGCTATGCAATTATATACAAAAGGTTGTACATGTATACAAGCAGACATTTTTATTTTACGTTTTCACATCAGTTTCAGTCTCGGTTAATTGATGTTTAAATGAAACATTTTAATCATCATTATTTCTCTTAGGAACCTTTGAAAAATATTATAGATTCTAAATTTAACAGAACATTAAAATCAAAATTGTTCAAATGAATAAATCCTTATCTCTTGTAATGATTTAATGAATTTGATATATACTGGGAAGCTTTCAAGTAAGGATTTAAACGATCCTTACTTTATCTTTTTCTTTATTATTTCTCTTTAGAAGATGGTCTGCGTCTTCAATACGCCAGTTTCAAGATTGTAACTCTCCTGTGATAGAGGCGCAAAAAGTATCCATTTCGGCAGGGAGGTGGGACAGGTTGTTTCTGTATACAAACGTGCATAAATAAATGAACGATATTTATGGCTTTTATAAAAATTTATTAAATGTATATTAAAAAGATAATGATATTAAGCAGTGATGCATTTGATGATTTTATCAAATTCAACTATGCATATTAACAAATCTACTTTAAATTATAGGTACTTGAAAATGAAATAAACGTCATAGTCCTAATAAAAAGTAACTGATTTTCTTGATTGTACAAACAAAAAGTTTGTGGGTTTTTTGAAGTTATAATAAGGAAAAGAATCAATGTGTCATTTAGATCGCCTACGTACAATGTTCAGATGTATGTGTACCGTTTTTATTAGAGGTCCAAATATCTTCCCTCTTCTGAAAAGTCTCACATCAACCGACATTTTCTTTTTTGTTACGATTTTTTTTT